ATGGGAGAGGGAGGGAGAGGGAGATGGAGAGAGAGGGAGGGAGAGAGAGAGGGAAAGAGAGGTAGAGGGGGAGAGGGAGAGGGAGAGAGAGGGAGGGAGTGGGATTGAGAGAGAAGGACTGAGATGGCCATATCTACTCCTTCTTAAGCTCACCATTAAACATACTGTTGGCAATAGCACCACAGGGAGCGATTGGGGTTCCATTGTTGTAAACTGAAAATGGGGCACAGTAGCCGAGTTTCTTGATGCTCTGGAGAAAATATATAAAAAGGTCAATCTAAAATGTCTTCATTTGCATTATTACAAAGCAGTTTTATGGTATGAGAAATTCTAGAGCTAATATTTCTACATAAATGCATTTTCACACTGCTAGAAAATAAATGACTGAAAAGTGTAGTAGATGTAAATGCTCACCAACTACTTTAATGAGACAAACACATACTGTCATGTAGCTCTGTAGTCTGATCTTCCTGTGCAGGGAGCACATGGCTGTCCTTGAGAAGTTGGCTGCTGTCACATCCAGTCAGCGCTATCTATATACAGTGAATGCTAGGTCTAAACAGTGACGAGCTGTGGACAGCATGGGGTACTGGTGCCTTCATGGCAAAAAAAAAACAAAAAACAATTCTGTCAATTCTCCTATCGCCTCCCCATAGGAACTACACTGAAGTCACCAAGGCATCTTGAGGACTTCAATTTAAACTGACCCTCTCCTTTGTCTATGCAGGGCAAAATAAAAGAGTTAAATGACTCCCCCTCCTTCCCAGCTGCATGTACAGTACCCATCTTTCCTTCACTCTCCCAATGCTTCATGTAGCCACTGGGAGTAAAGAGAGGTATTTGCAACACTACTGGATATGTGTGACTCAACCACACTCTCCTATGTGGTTACCAGGGCAGCCATCAGAAATTTTGGGGCCCCTTAGACGGCTTTAGGCGGCCCCCCCCCCCGCCGCTTAGTGACGCGCTGGACGCAGGGCTTAGTGATGCACTGGACACAGGACCCACCTGAGAGTGACCCTGCAGAGCCCACCATAGATGCTGCACAGCCCATTTGAGACTGTCTATGGTGGGCTCTGAAAGGGTCTCAGATGGGCTGGTCAGGGCTCCATCCCTCCCCTCTTTCCTTTCCTTCCTAGCTCCTCTTACCTGCACACGTGGCCTCGCCTGCCGCTGGAAAGGCCAGAAGTGACGTCACGTCACTAACGTGACGTCACTTCCGGCCAGTCCGACATCAGACGAGCAGCATCACTGATGGGGCCCCAGCTTGGCTCGAAGCCGCTGGAGCGGCAATGCTGGGGCCCTGCGCTGCTAGGGCCAGGCCTCTGCCTCCTCGCCCTTCACATTCATAACTTCATAGTCATGTAAGTGACCCGGGTGGGCCCCCCAGGCTGCCCGGGCCCCTTACATGAGTATCGGCCGTACCCCCCTGATGGCTGCCCTGGTGGTTACAGAGGTGCCTAGTGTTTGGCCCAGCACTGTCACACGGGTGCAGAGAAGGAGCATGTAGTCCTGTTAACAGAGCTTATTACATGTAGAGTGCCGTATTCAATAACTTCCTGCCATGCACTATGTTCTGTTATTGCATGTCAATGTGTAGGCCTCCTAGCTTTGTAAAACAGGCATCTTTCTAAGACATACTGTAATATATTATTTCAAAGCCACAAAAATGACATGACCAGCGCCAATTGCACAACCAAAGAAACCCTCCTGTGGCCTAAAAAGTTAATAGAAATCCTGTAAGGCCGCCCCGTAACAGACAAGGGATCCTGCAAACTGGATAGAAAAGAAAAGGAAACACCGGGCACCTGACCTGGTGCAATAATCCTTTTATTAATGGAAATAATAAAAATAAATAAATAAAAAACTCTTTATACTCACAAACGGAGCAAGAACAATGTCACATTGGACTTGTAGTCCTCACTGGGTGAACTGCAAATAGATGAATTGTTCAGGAGCACTGCTAGATGCAGAGTCTCAATGCCACTTAGCTAAATGCGCTTTCGGGGGAACTTCCCCTTCTTCAGAGCTGAGGAGATGAGCTAGCATCTAGCAGAGCTCCTGAACAATTCATCTATTTGCACAGCAGTTAACCCAGTGAGGACTACAAGTCCAATGTGACATTATTCTTGCTAAAGAGTTTTTGTTATTATTTCCATTAATAAAAGGATTATTGCACCAGGTCAGGTGCCCGGTGTTTTCTTTTCTATACTGTAATATATGTATAAAGAACTATGTGGATACAGTGAGATGCACTTCCGACATGGCAACCACTGGTACCCCATTTTTGATTCTATATAACTTTCATCCTACTTTTGTGGAAACCACACATTAAGGTCTGGTTCACAGTCGCTGCTTTGGGCCAAATGCAAAGAAAAAGCAATTTGTATTGTTTACAACCGGCTTAGTTTACGCCACCATGTTGCAGTGATGTGCACTGAAAAAAAGTACTGCATACAATACCTTTTTCACTACAGCGCATTGTGATGCAATCCCCTGTATCACACCTTGCTGAGGCTGATAGAAGTGAATGAAATGTCTACCCAAAAAATGTTTACAGCATGGTACGCTGTTGCCAGTACATCAGCACTGCAGCCTAAAGAGAAAACACCTGCAGCTGCATCCTAATGCATATTCAAGTTACACCATAAAAATGAACTACCCGCAGTCACTCTGCAATATGGTAATAGTACTTTGTGAATCTATCATGTTAACAAATGGTTATTCAATACTTGACCTGAAAATTAGTTATTATCCTGATGCAGTTTACAAAGGGTAAATAAACAACTGGGTTAACTGTTGTGGGCAATAGCTCTACTTTTCCTTTATATAGAATCTAATAGGAGTCTCTATTTATAGGTACTTTATTACTTTATAGGTACTATTTTCCTTTATATAGAATCTAATAGGAGTCTCTATTTATAGGTACTTTATTACATTTCGGTCTTAGTTTTGAAGAAAGAGGGATGAATACTCTAAAGGGTGACTCCTTGCTAAAATAGAGATTATTAGGAGCTGTGCAGAGCCTCTTCGGGAAGAAATAAACTGTACCGTACTGTACTATTCTTAGAGGACCCACTTTTTGATAAAAGGATTTGCTTGGGCACTGCTGGGCTAAATCACATTACAGCTTATTATAGCTATTTGAGGCTCTAGTGGGATTTCTAGCATGTAGAGATGTCAAATAAATGGAACACCAGCACTGCATCACGCCTTAATGCACAGCAACACACAGAATCCTCAAAACAGGGTCAGGTGCAGTTAGCTTGGGATGGGGTATGTTAGCAGCCCATGTAAAATGAATGGGCTGTCCTAATGCAAAACTTGCTAACATGTGACATAATGCGTGATAACGTGCCTGCATTGCCGCACTAGAACAGTGTGGCCTGAGCCTTATCGTTGCATACGTCTTCAGTTCTTAAGGGATAAGAAAACCAACCTCCGAATTAGTTACATTTCTCCCAAGTAGTTGGGCATCAAATTTGGATATTACATATCGGCGATGATTCTGGAAAAAATTGCTGAGTCCATAATACATAAAGACATCCCCCTGCAGATAAAGAAACATCCTGTGTTAAAATGATAAACATTAGTGTTGGAGTTGGGCTTTAAAGCCTTGCTTCTATGTATGATAGTGTGTAATTATATATATACATGAAGGTAGAGATATTTGCTGATTTCACATCTCTACATGCTTTGCTAATCACTTTATTTTGCTGTATTATGCTATCTGGACCAGATATACTGTTTTAACTTACCTTGAAGCTCTCTGTTATACTGAAGTTGATAGTACAGCTGCACGGCGTCTCTGAATTAGAGGAATTCTCTCTCAGTTTTGTGCAATCTGAGCAATAATCAGAATAACTTATCTGTGAACAGAGAGTAACAGAGGGGTAAGCCAAGCCCACCTTACATCTGATGCAAAATTTTAACAAATCATGAAAAATAGTTTCCAGAAACATTGAGAAACACTAGAAAAAAAGGGAACCTGTCTGGGAGTATATGTGAGCTACCAAAGCCTACTTCGAGGTGCAAATATCAGGATCCATAAGGATCATCCTTGTCTCACTACTTCCTACAATGTGTCAACAAGTATACAGGTTAGGATTTCCAACAGTGGCTGCATAGTTCCTTTGGGTCTGTGCTTGTAAAAGCGGAAGTAAAGGGAATGAATAAATAAATAAATAATGGAGCATTTAGGGGGCTCTATTAGCACATTATGACAGACTTACCTGCCAAAGTGGTCCCCTCCAGCGATGCAGTATCAACGCTCTCCTCCGTCGCTGGCGCTTCCATCTTCATCCCAGTCTTCCTCCACATTCTGAGTCTGCAGCTGCTTGATTAGCCAAGGCCACATGAGCTAACTCACCTTGAATGCACAGCGTTGTACGCACATACATTTTTTAAAAGCATAAGCGCTGTACATGCGTACATAGTTTTTCCGTCCAGGCTGAAGAAAAAAAATATGACAGATTTCTCTATCCAGGCTAATAGCATGGATGAATGAATCTCCTGCTTTGTACATTGTATTCTGACAGTGGCCCCAGCTGTTAGGTAGGTTACAATGAAAAGAACATCTTACATATAATACATGGTAAACAGAAAAACTATTAAGAATGTTAAACCAAATTCAATGCCATTGGGGAGAGAAATGTCTTTTCATAGGTTCTGCAGAATATCATGAGCTTTGCAACAAATGTAATATAACTATCACATAACTATTGTTAAGCTTCAATATGCAATGAATGTATTCCAGACATGAAAGTTTTTGCCCCCTAAAAATAGGTTTTAAAATAACAAGGGTATGGACATAGTTCAATTACAGAAGAAAAACAAAAGTTTGTCAGTGTAAGCTGCGATTTTGTATAATTTGTTTCCTATCATGAATAATGCCTGTAACATCTAGGTTGGCACTTATTTTACACAGATGTTCTAATGTGAGTATGGAAATCAAATGGAACAATGTACATCCCTTACCAGTGTCATTTAGTATCAAGAGCAGGTCAGATAGAATGGTGTTGGCTTTCACCTTAGCGGATGGGTTGAGATATAGGATGAGGATTCGTGCAAGCATTTTATGCTCCAAAATATATTGATCAAGATTGGCCTAAAGACAAAAGGTTGACCCTTTGTTTAACATGACATGTATGTAATCAGAAGTCAGTGGAGTTGAACAGATATTATTGATTACGTCCTCTACTAGTATCAAGTTGATCTCGGTTCTCTTTAAAGAAGAACTCCAGGAAAACTTTTTATTAACCCTTGCAGTGGGGCTACCCCCGAACTGCAAGGGTTAACTGTTCTTTTTTGTCCAGGTGCTGGAATGACAAAATTATACTCACCTGAAGTTCCAAGTTGGCCAGCTGTCACAGCGCTCCCTCCAGCCTGTCTCCTCCTCCCTGCAGCATTGCAATCTTCCTCAGCATCCTCAAGTCTGTTTACTGTGCATAGAAGTTGATGATTTATGGGACCTTAGACCACTGCAGAGGAGGGGGGGAGACACTGAAAGGACCAGTGTAAGAAAAAGCCTGCTTCAAGCTTCGTTCCCAGTTTTTTTGGCTAAAATTAGGTACCTCGGCTTATATTCAGGACGGCTTATACTCGAGTATATACGGTATAACTTTTTTTTTTTTTTAAACCTAGACACAAATGAGCACTTAACCCTTGCAGTGCGAGGTAGGTATGGACCGCTGCTTATGTCTATGTTTCTTTCCGCCTTGCTTCCTGTGGTGAAGGATCTTCTCTGTGTATGATATTTTGGTTCTTTGCAGGCCTGTTCTAAAAAAAATTCTAGATGTATGTGTATTAGAGGTGTTGGACACAGCAGAGCCTGAGGTAGTCTCTCTGCGAATACTTACTTCTCCCATGCGTGCTCGGCTTGTGGAGGGACAGAACAATCTATAAACTTTTTTAAAATGTAATCTTCGTCTCTATCAAATTTTGAACGATTCATTCATTCTAATTTCCCATGAAAGGAAAATATCTCTACAACAATTATTTCCTTGGTGCCTGAAAGGTCCTCTGTAGAGGTCAATGTTTGAAGTTCAGATTCAACCTGAACAGTCCTTTAAGACTATGTCTGAACACAGAATAAAAAAAAGATAAGATTGGCCAGCATTCCTTATTGATAAGAAACAGCCATTATTACCAGTCTCAAGAAACTTTACAGGAAAATAACCACAAGAACCTGAGCTAAAGGTGCCCATACACCTTACGATTATCGGACAAAACTTTTCATCCGATGATCGAACCGTCGTAAGATTTTCGTACGATGGCCCCATCCTGCCCCGATTATTGCAAGGTTCAATCAGCGGTAGTTAATAAAAACCACCTGGACGACTTGCGGTAATTGACTGCAATTATTTTCGTTTGCGCATGCGCAGTGTTAATCGTACGACTTTTGACGGACGGAAACGCCACCAACCATGCGAGCATCGTATGATCGACCAAAGTTTTTAAACATGCTTGACCGTCAAAAGTCGTACGATTGTACAGTACTATCGGTCGGGCACTCTATTAACACGTTGTGATTGTCGTACGAAAAGTCGATCGCATACGATTATCGTACGATAATCGTAAGGTGTATGGGCACCTTAAGATTGGTGATTGATGAGGTTCTTAAGCTGCCCATACACCTTGCGATCATCAGACTACACTTTTCGTCCAATGATCGAACCGTTGTACGATTTTCGTATGACGGCCCCATCGCAAGGTTCAATCAGCAGTAATAAAAAAAAAGCACCTGGACAAATTGCGGTAATCAACCGCACGTATTTTCGTTGGCGCATGTGCAGTGTAAATTGTCTGAATTTTGACGTACGGAAACGCCACCAACCTTGCGAGAATCGTACGATCGACCAACGTTTTCTAACCTGCTGGTTAGTCAAAAGTCGATCGATTGTACAGTATTTGCGGTTGTACACTGCCCATCAACCTTACGAATATTGGATGAAAACGCGATCGCAAACGAAAATCGGCCAAAAAATCGTAAGGTGTATGTGCACCTTTATGATAAAGAGAGGAGGAGGACATTCTTGCTTTGAAAAAACAGGAAGTGTGGTGGATCCACAAATTATCCTTACTGTACCCTAAAGTGTTAAACAGGGATTATGACTTTATATGTGTGATGGCTATATTACATTTGTTGCAAGTTGTCTTTTGTTTGTTTTCAGAGCACATGATGTTCTACAGCAGTGCTCCCCAACCTTTTTATCGCCGCGGACCGGTCAACGTTTGATAATTTTACCGTGGCCCGCTGAGGGGGGGAGGTTAATTGTTTATTTATATTTTAGATCTGTGACTCACCTCCCCTCCCGCCGCCTGTTACTATGGACGCGGCCGGGAGGGGAGGTGAGTCACAGGACCCGCCCCCTCACTGTGAAGCCTGTCGGCAGTGCGGGGCCCCGCGGCCCGGTACCATTTGATCCACGGACCGGTACCAGTCCGCGGCCCGGGGGTTGGGGACCACTGTTCTACAGGACCTGTGAGACCTGTGACCTGCGTCAAATTTGTTTAACATTCTTCACATTTTTTTGGGTTATGTTATGTATTACTTGTAGGATGTTCTTTTCATTTTATATTAGGTACAGTATTTTAGGCTGGTCCAGTGACATCACCTCTCCTCTGGAAGCAGTGGGTGGTCCATCTAGACTGAGCAGTGTTCACATAATGAAGTGTAAGCAGCTTTCAGTATACTCAAATATATACTGAAGTTGCTCTTTATTTAAAAGATCCATTATAGTTGTTGGATGATCTAAAATGTATAGCTGAAACATAAATGCCTCTGGGTCCCTTTCTTACTGGTTGTTGAGTGGTATCAGTCAGTAAACTGCTAATGGTATCTATGAACATCTCTAGTATACTAACAGGTGAAAGCCCAATGACTGAGTCTTAAAAAATCCATTGCTTCCTTGATTTTGCAAGATCTTGGTGTGCTGCTGGGTGGTACTACAGCTTCTTGCCACGTGATTCTGAGAGCCAGCAAGGAATCTATAGTAGGCAGGACTGAGAATACTAGACCTACAGATTCACAGAGTGCAACACCTAGTGTTGTCTTAAAACTGGCTTACCAGCAACACGGGAGTTTTAAATAGGAAGGTGAACTCATGTACTATACCTGTTTGAATGAAATAAACAAGCCCTGAGCATGTAGGCTACATCCCTTTCTATGTATTTAAAGGTTACATTTTCATTTTGATTGTACCATGTCTTTAAAATAGTTTTTTTAATGTTTCACTCACCCTAATTTCTTTAACATTTGTCGTTGCTACGACCCAGCTGATTCCCACAGCTAGACAAAAGAGTCCAATGATGAAGAAAGAGCTCAGTACAGACTCAGCAGTTAGCAATGGTCTCCAGGCTGGTAGTCTCTGCTGTTTGAAGGCCATATTATCCGGGCATTTGGATACTGGAAGGCCATCCTTCTCTTCCTTTTTCTTTTTTCCCATGCTCTTCCAGCTCCTGAGGCTTTCTGTTTGCTGAATGGAAAAATCATACGCTGTGCTCGCTCTTTGGTGTCTGCGACTGTCTCTTCATGCAGGTGGAAAGAATCTTTACTGAACTTCCTGAAATTACTTATTAACTCCAATAGGCTGGCAGTGCTCTCACTGTATGCATAGATTAGCTGTTCACTTTATCAGCTAGTGTCAGTCTGTCATAGTGAACTTTGCTCATGTGTAGACCAACCAATACGCTATACCACTATGTATGTGTGTTTGTTTTATAAAGCTATTTATGATCTTTACTTTACACTCCCTACCGTCTACTACAGCTGCTAAAGAGAAGCACATACTTGTTTCAGAAGAAATACAGATATGGGATCATTTTGTGGAAAGTCCATTATGTAGAAATGACAGACACCATTACAGAACACCACTAGGAAGGTACCTTTATTTCCAGTATAGGCACTTTTACAGCTGTTTGCTGGTAGCCTTCAGGTATCTATTGACATAGGATGATCTTCAAACACAACTCTTAGCCTCAGCGTGCATCAGTGGGCATTACAAATCTATTGGACAGGTTGGATGGTTAAGCAGACCCACAACTTGTATTTTCCCTAGGTGTCAGTGGTGCCAGGCCTTTGTGGGTTGTATGCAGTGCACTAAAACATACTAGCTTGCACGAATTTGTGGCTCCGTGACCAATCCATGACACATAAGACTGCTGTTGTTCAGTGCGAGGAGCTCATGGGGTCTTGGGAGAGACTGAGGGAGAACCAAGAAATAGAATCTGATTCTGGTTTCCTTATGTGTTCTTTTCCTTTCTTTTAAGTTTTTTTAATTCTCTTCTTTACAGGTATCATTGCATATCTCGCAGGGGAAAACAACACTGATAGGCTGGGTTGAATTCTTATCTACACTCCATGAAATCTCCAGCAAGAAATGTCTGTGATGGTTGAGCAGGACCTACTCACAAATTGAGAGTATTCTATGATTTCTAATGGTATCCTAAATCCCAAAAGTACTACTATAGATAGGTGAATCTATATTTGGAAGAACAAAACACTGAGAGACCTTTTCCCTAAATCAGTGTTGAGGAATAATCCAGTGGGCTAGAAAAGGATTTTTTGATTACCTGTAAAAACAGTTTCTTGGAGTACATCACAGGACACAGGTAGTTTAATCTTAAATGGATGAGTTATGCAGCTATCTTCAAGTGATTGGACACTGGCAAATCAAAGCTTTGTGAACAGCCCTATATATAACCCCTACCACTCTTAGCTTGCCTCAGTTATGTAGCAAGCACTACAAGTGTGGATCACCGAAAAGAGAATGAGAGCTGAGAGATGCACTCTTTTACAGGGGAATAAAAACCCTGGACAGGGCCAAGTGGAAGACCAGGTCCAGGTACTAGTCTAAGCGATAGGAAGGTTCCAGCTACGACTTCTGGAGATTCAAAAGTGCCATCCACAGCACTACAGGGTTTGTATCGTCTGATGATTGTTGAATGACAAGGCTTGTGCTGACTGTTCTCTAAGGAGAAAGTCATACAAGTACCTAACAATGGAGATCCCCTGAGACCAAAGTAAAGCCAACACAGCACTGTAGACAGCAGCGGTAACCCAGGGCAGCGTGCCAGCAGAATCACAGCAGCAGCTGGAGCATGTATGTAGCCAGCTCAGCGCATGCCGGGAAAGGAAAATGACAGGCATACATGCAGGGCCGGATTTACTCTCCCTGCCGCCCCAAGGTCAGGTTCTGCGATGCGTCCGCCGACCCCCACCCCCCTTCCCATCAATAGAGAATGGCAACCAGATGGCAGGGCGGCGAGGTTAGTGTCAATTTGTTTTACTGTTTCTTTATTTATTTTTCTACTTTTTTATTGTTTATTTAATTATTTCTTATTTTTTAAATTTGTATTGATTTAATTATTATGAATGTAGAGAGGGAAACTTCCCCACAAGGACACCGCTGCCGCCCCTCTGCGCCCTGCCGCCCCGAGGCCGGGCCTCGGTGGCCTTGTGGGGAATCCGGGTCTGCATACGTGCAGTAGGAGCACCGAGAAGGTGGTGTGCAGGCACTGTGCAGCTTCCTGAGCTGCCCATGGACCCCAGGAAAATGGCACCAATTTTAAAACCCGACCTGAATAGCTGCTGCTAGGAGCCACAGTGGCTGTGTGCAGCATTTAGGAAAACTTGCTAGAACAGCCTTCAGTAGAAAATGCAAAAAAAAAAAAGAAGATGTGTGACGGACCGCCTGGTACCCCGACTGGGTACCTCCGTCAGAAAACAGCTTCCTTTCCGCTGGAACCCGAATCCCAGTGTCCTCAGCCCAAACCTGCCTAATTATTGGACAGAACCAATATCTTAGGACAGAACGCTTAACCACTCAATCATTAGACAACACCAATGTTGAGGTGGAAACCAAGATCTGCTTTATTGAAGGAAGCACACAGAGTTTATACCTGACAGGATCAGATTAGAGTGCAGTGTGTCCCCTCCCCCAGACAGCTAGGTGCCGCATTAGAAGTCTTTTAAGCCCAGACACTCTGTGGGATGAATGTCCTTAATTAGAGAGGAGCTTAATCCCATCATTGCAAACAATGGTCACTCCAGCCAGCCTGCTACCTATAATGAACACAGTGATGTGTGTGTGTCTGTAATGTCGGGGGAGACATGCAGTATATTCACTCCACATGTATCCTAGTAGAATGGTTCCATGTAACCCCAAGAGGTCTGAGGGGGGTCTCCATAGTTCTGGTCCATAGTCCGTAGGAAGGAGGCTAGCCCTCAGGCTCCTCCAGCAGCCCCAGTGACGGTTCAGTCCGTCACAAGATGTACTTCTCTCAGAGCAGAGAGAACGCATCAATCACTTAGGGCTCATTCACACCAGATGCAGTGCGTTCCAGCCCGATTCTGGCCAGAATGCACTGCACCGCATTGCGGCCGGCTCACTATGTTGCGGGACAGGAGGGTGCGTGGCGGTCCATTGAAGTGAATGGTGCCGTAGCCACGCCCTCCAGCCACAATGCGATCAGCCGCACGGGAACGCAAGGCACATTAAGCCTGCGGTCCGGTACAAACAAAATAGTGCTTTTCAAACTTGGAAACTGTTGTTTGGAATTAGAAACACTGGGGACTATGCAACTACTTAAAGTAGACCTAAAGTTCGCTTGTTAAATTAAACAAATTAGAAAAATGACCAGTGATGCCAGTGCTGAAGAAAATGCTGGCCTAGACTTGCACTGTGGTCAACCACCATTTTGCCAAGGGATTTACTCACATTACTTCAGCTAAAGTGGAGTCCAGCCACAGGCACTATTCAACTGGCTCATTTAACATCAAGCCTCTTTAGCATTCAGAGGTCATATAGTACATAGTGACAAGAATATCCACTCACTGTTGAATGCAGAATGCATATTGATAATGGTATATACAAATAGATGCAAATAAGACTTCTGCTTTTATTTAGATTTTAGGACCATGTGTGCATTGGGCAATTTGCTTGGTTTGTGTATATTAAGTGAATAGCATTTCCCTACATCATAGGCGTCGCTACAGGGGGGCAAGGGCAACCTCCAAATAGATGCAAATAAGACTTCTGCTTTTATTTAGATTTTAGGACCATGTGTGCATTGGGCAATTTGCTTGGTTTGTGTATATTAAGTGAATAGCATTTCCCTACATCATAGGCGTCGCTACAGGGGGGCAAGGGCAACCTCCATCTGCCGCTGGGCAAAGGGGTCGGCTACCTCCTCTCCCTAGACCTCCATCTGCCTCTGGGGAGAGAGGTCGGCTACCTCCTCTCCCTAGACCTCCATCTGCCTCTGGGGAGAGAGGTCGGCTACCTCCTCTCCCTGAACATCCATCTGCCGCTGGGGAGAGAGGTCGGCTACCTCCTCTCCCTGGACCTCCATCTGCCGCTGGGGAGAGAGGTCGGCTACCTCCTCTCCCTGGACCTCCATCTGCCGCTGGGGAGAGAGGTCGGCTACTTCCACGCCCTGGATCTCCATCTGCCGCTGGGGAGAGAGGTCGGCTACCTCCTCTCCCTGGACCTTCATCTGCCGCTGGGGAGAGAGGTCAGCTACCTCCTCTCCCTGGACCTCTGGGGCTGTACCAGGTGCCGGGCAAAGGCTTGCAACCCTTTGCCCTGTTGCCAGCGCCTCACCTGGGGACTCGGCAAGCTGTACAACCTCCAAAGTAAAATCCAATAAATCACGTGTCTCTGGGGGTGTGGCTTCCACTGGGTCTTCATCTTCGGAAGGGAACAGCAGACCACTTTCCAGCAGCTCCCGGTAGTCCATTTCTAGGCACCACTCTTGTTGGACCAGCCAGGCCAGGTCGGGCTCCAAGGCATGGACTTCCATAGTCTGCAACCTCCCCTGCCGTTTGGCTTGGATGTCCCAGAAGCGATAATCCTCGGGACTGCCAAAATCACCCTTCTCCCCAAACGCTTCCCACAATAATCCGGGGCCGCAAAGGTCATCACCTTCCGGGGAATAGTGCATGCCCGCCTTCACTTGTTACCGGTTGGCAAACCAGTATAGCGCTCGGTACTGGTCTTCGAGCTCCATCTCTCTCTGCACCAGACCCTCCACTTCTACTATCGCTTCCTCTGTGGGTTGCCCGCCTAGTAAGCTGATCCGCAGATTCACCTGGTCTCCTGGCCTGCGGTCCGGTACAAACAAAATAGTTTTGTGCCCCCCCCCCGCTGATTCCCCTTTAAAACGGCCGCTGCCACCGCTAATGCAGAGCCGATCTTCTTTGACAGCTCTGCCGAAGTGAAAGTACACAGCACTCGGCAGCCATCTGAATCTCCCACCTCCCACCTCAGCTGCTATTGGCTGGGAGGGAGAGTGCAGCACTGCCATTGGCTGCCTGTGTACTTCAGCAGAGTGGGACCTGCAGAGGCAAAGAAGCACATCAAGGCTGCTTGGGGATTTTCCTCCAGGAAACATCTTTGCTCCCCCTCCCCCCACCGCCACCCAGAGAGGAAGAAGAGGGCATGAGGACAGAGAACATGAATTTCACATCAGCACTGTGAGTCTCTTTTCTATCTGCATTACACGCACCGCTGACCTCCCACTCTGTGTTACATGCACCTCTGACCTCGCACTCTGCGTTACACGCGCCTCTGACCTCGCACTCTGCGTTACACGCACCTCTGACCTCGCACTCTGCGTTACACGCATTTCTGTCCTCCCACTCTGCGTTACACCCACCTCTGACCTCGCACTCTGCGTTACACGCACCTCTGACCTCGCACTTTGCATTACACGCACCGCTGACCTCCGCACTCTACATTACACACACTGCTGACCTCACACTCTGCGTTTCATTACTGACCTCCACACCCTGCGTTACATTACTAACCTCCGTACTCTGTGTTACACCTCTGCACCCTGTGTTACACCGCTGACCTCTGTACTATGCGTTATAACTGACCTCTGCCTCAATACTAAAAACAGATGCCGGTACTTACATTTTTAAAATTGACTCGGGTGTCTTAGGTCCAGCGCTTGCTGGGGACCTAGTGGCAGCCTACTGGGCAACCATGTAATGCCTGCTCACAGCGCTTCTGCCACCCGCACATCTCTCCTTACTAAGACCCTCGACACCCTCTGCCCAAAACATCAGGTCGGGACACCCCGGAGTAGAGTGACAGCACAGAGTATATAGCAAACTTATATACTATTGTTCTGCATTGCTCTATGTTTTGCTGGGATTTGTAGTCCTCTATAGCTCGTGGTATTCTGCATTGCTATATAACATAGGGGATTATTTACACAGCCATGTTTGCTGAAATTGCTTTAAACTATAAAGAAAAGCTTTTGAGTGTTTTCCTGTTTCTCAGGTCTGGAGCAATACCTGAGGAAGAAAGGAAAACTCTTGAAAGTTTGGCTTTTAAGTATTAGGTTAGTACAATAAAAAGGTATCATTGCATACCGCATTACTCTCGTATATTGTAATCTTATTTATATATACTTCTTTAGTTTTTTCAGTGGTATGATTTAGTGGTGAAAATTATTAGTGTGCCCCCAGTTTGGACTGTGGTTTCTTATGTGGCCCCCGCTATATATTGTTCCTAGAGTCGCCACTGCCCTACATACACCCTTCACTGCTTATAATTAGAATCATTTAATTTTTTTTTTTCTCATTGTAGGGAACAGGAGACTGTCCTGGTGTGACAAACACGTGGACAATGGTAAGAATTATTCCTATAGAAAGTCCAGTTCCTGCACGTGCCTCTGTGTTCCTAAAAATACAGATATCTCATCAACGTTGGATTAATTGAATCGACTTGTAAAAACTGAGCTTGTCTGAGGTCAGCCCTGAATGGGTGGTCTCTGCCATATCTCAGTAAACCTGACAATCATTAAGCACATGTTGAAGACCTGGACACAATTCATCATGCTTTTACTGCCTACATTATAAAGAAACCTTTTATTTATTGCTGATTACATCTCATCCTTTTTCCTTTCAGAAGAGATGGTGGTACGGAGGAGAAATTCTTTGGGGTTTTGTCAGCAAATGTCATTCATAGCATCATAACAAAAAGCTTCTTCTCTATACAGCTTCTTCACAAAATCATTCATTTTATGTTTGTGGTTTATGTACTCATCTCCCTTCACGTACATTAACACATAGATTCGCTTTATTGGTATGTTCGTGTCTACTTAAACACTGTGCCTAATGTTTCTTTTTCCAAGTTTGTTATCTTAGTCCAATGAAGATGTAGTTTCATATTTTATTGCCAGAATCTCAGGGATCACTCACTCCTTGCTTATCATGCCATTCTATTCACCAATGTATGCTGTAGAGGTCAGTGTGTTACATTTTGGCAGTTTTACACTTGCTGTCTTGGTGGTTTTTCCTTTTATACAAGGTGAAAGGAGATATCTGTATAACTTTGTGTGACATTTTTATGTATGGTTAGGGCTTGGTATTATTGGTTATTGGTTTGCGATAAAAAAAACTGTATGTAAAGGCAAACCTTTTTTTAAAAAGTTTTGGATAGAGTGGGGGGAGGGATAGAATACCCTGTGAGGCTTTTAACGCTGGCTGTGTCCCCAATGGGGTGTTCACCCCTTCTATTTGTCCTGGTCACCTTTGTCTCCAAGACAGAAAGTAGTAGGAAGTCCTACATTTTAGAGTTGTCATGAGAGCAAGAGGTAATGGAAAATCTTCTAAAGGAGACCACTGACCCAATGACAGCTGTCTAAGATGAGTATTCCCCTTACCTTGGGGAGATTTCATCTCACTTCCTGCTGCATCTACAACACAGGAAGTGAAGGGAAATCTCCCCAGTGGAACACAGACATTAAAAAATTACCTGATTGGGGCTTTAGGTCTATACATATGGTTTAATGCAATATAGTTATTAAAGCATCACTAGTGAACATATTTCCTTAAAGAGTCTGAGGACATTTTTACTTTGAAGGTCCATATTATAAATACATTACTTATAGCTCTGCTGTGTACTGCCAAATAAACCAACAAGGTTTACAATATGCTGTCACCCTGCTGAGCATGTTTGCCTTGTCCATCATATACGATCTGTGTATGCTGAAAGTGCTAGAAGGATTTCCCAATATACTCAGCATACATTTATGGTAAGAATTTTTGAAAGGATCCAATCATTCCCCGCTGAACCACAGAGGTTCTCATATAAGAAACAACGCTCTACTCTATTGTCTGAGGTCAGATAAATGAATAAATGTTTGGCTGATTTACTGTATATTACTTCAGTTAGATGCCAGTAGTAGTCAAAAACTGATGTAGAATAGTTGTATTATAACAATGGGGATGCCATTTACATTACTTATATAATTCTTACAGGTGCTCCTCATCATACTGGATCATCCAAATCCTAAAGCTGGCCATGCACAATGATAAAACGATCAATGGTTTTAAATGATCTTTTACCTGAGAATGATTGTTCCATAAAAGCCGACCTTGCACCAAAAATGAAAGGTCCTCTTACTAGATCTGGACCCTCTTCCCCTGTAAAAATAGCTGCATATAGATTGAAAGCTGTATCTGTCTTCCTCCCATCTTGCATCCTGTGCTTAGAGGAGGGTAACATCACACTCTTTCCAGAAACATCCTAAGGAATGCAGAACAGCTCAGATCTTGTGAGAAAATGCTCTTGCACTGAACGGTATTTTTTTTATTCATAAAATCTGGGGTACCCATCATTCCCCAGGAATCTTGCTTCCCCAGGATAGGGATGTCACAGCCTGCAGCATGAAAATGTTTTCCTTTCAAGTACAGTTATAAACTATCTACATGCAACTGGGGCCCAAGACTAAAACCAGACCTTGCGTTTTACTGCAAGATTAGATTTAATAAAGAGTAACCAAAGGTAATTCTAGGCAAAAATCTTAATTATAGGCTCCCTTCTCCTTCTGAAATGTTATTCCCCCACCTGATGTATGACTATAGGAAAAAAACAGTCACTTTCTTAGTCAACTCTCCCCCCCATCCTCTGACTTGACAAACAAGTAGCAGAAACACACTGATGAGGCCATCCCTCTGCTCTTCCCTGCTGTAAGCAAATTCAGTATTAGGCTGACTAAGGTAGGGTACACGCGGAGCAAATTCTGGATGATTTAGCAGGAATTGGCCGAAATTCACTCAGTGTGTACCCTATTCCATTTGTAGATCGATATTTGCTGAAGGAACATGTTGGAAAATCTTCGGCCGCACGGTGCATGCAGCCAACCAGTTCGAGTATTCTGACAGTGACTGACAGAATACAATGCTCACTTGCAGGAGATACATCCCTCCACACTGAACAGCTTTCAGCTGGTTGGCTGCATGCACCGTGTGGATAAAGGAATCTGTAATATTTTTTTTCCATTCAGCCCACAGGTTAAATGAAGAAAATATAAGCATATATTTGTGGCCTAAAACTAGTAAGTAAGTAAATTGATCTTTCTGGCCCCTTTAAGCTGACCTGACTGATCCACCCTCTTCCTGCACAGATGCATACTTGCCAGGTTTCGACAGACCCGGCCACCATTGTTTGTTCACATCCATTGGTTAAATTTTCCCTCTCCTGTCTGTGCCTGCACCATACATCCCCTTTGACTTCTATGGAGGTAGATGAGGCCCATAGAAGTCAAAGGGGATGTACTATGCAGGAAGCAGGGCCTGACGGAACTTGTATACTTTAGGCTCTGTTCACACCTAGGCGTATCGAATATGCAAGTTTGTCGCGCGTTTCTACCGCGATTCGCGGTAAAAAACGCGCGGCAAACGCGCGTTTCCGAGGGCTACTTGGCTGTATCCCAATGGAAGCGCGGGACAAAAACGCCGCAAAGAAGCTCATGTACCTTTTCAGGCGTAGGCCGTTTTGTAGCGCGTTCAGACGGGCTGAAATACGGCAAGGTGTGAACCATACCCATAGAAAACAATGGGATTTTCATGTTTGAGTGTTTTGTAGAGCGTTCGTAGACCGTTGAACGCGCTACAAAACGTACAGGTGTGAACCAGGCCTTATTAGTATATCAATCTGTGCAGAGTGAGTGGAATCGGTTAGGTCAGCTTAAAGGGTTTAAAACAAAGTGCCCTTATCCCTCAAAATATATGCTTTAGGTTCAGCTATATGTTTAAATTTGGAAATCAACAAAAAGACCACATAAACATTACAAGAAACGCTTAAAACAGGACTGATTTATTAATAAATCTTGTACTGTACATTTCACAGATGTGTGCACAAACTTTACTCAACGGAAAATCAGACATTTTATAAAAGAAAATCCTATTGGAGAATTAAAACAATGCAATCTTCACAGACCCCTCTCTGCAGGCTGCAATGACAACCGACTCCAGGAGTTCCACCATCTCCTTCTTTACCTGCAAAGAAAACAGATGACTCTTACTACTGCCCGGGACTGCAGTACATTCTACAGTATGGTTTAACTCAAACAAAAAAAGGCTCAATGTGGAGATGCTGCCCCCCAGTAACCTAACTGCTGCTGTCACTCTATAGCAAAGGTTAGACAAACCTGAACATTTCTAACAAAATTAGAAAACAAACCTATTTTTTTATTTGCTTTAAAAGGTGGAAACATTCTTTATTTACAACTGCCCCAAAGTTCTATATTGGTTTCTGTATGATTCAAGTTTCCAGAACCATTTTGAGGGGTGAATAGTGGATTTGAAGAGCAAAATGAGGCTTTTTTTGAGATCGCATAGAAAATGCAAGTGAGAAGCTCTTGTAGAATCATGGAGAAATGTGAGTTTGTTGCAGGTGCTACACTTGAAGTGATAAGGACCAAAATGTCCTAGATGATCAGCACTGAATGCTGGATCTTTTAGCCCTCGTTCACACCTGAACGTTTTGTAGCGCGTTCTACGCTCAACGAAAGTTCTACAAAACGCTCAAAAATATAAATCCCATTGTATTCAATGGTCTCGTTCCCACCTTGGCGTATTTCCGCCCGTCCCTAATGCGCTACAAAACGGCGCACGCCTGAAAAGGTACAGGTACTACTTTGGGCAGTTTTGTTGCGCGTTTCCATTGGGATACAGCCAAGTAGCCTTCGGAAACGCGCGACGGTCGCGCAACTTTTTTACCGCGCATCGCGGTAAAAAAACGCGCGACAGACGCACATATGCAATACGCCTAGGTGTGAACGAGACCTCATTGCTGATCATACTGTACATATGCTTGGCCAAATGTGAAAAAAATATGACACCTAATGGTTTGAAGTAAATGATCACAACATATGCAAAATCAAAGTCATATGTTCATGGTGTGTACTGCTTTGTCCACTTACACTGTTGCACTCCTGATGGATCCTCACACGATTAATAAATAACTATGCTAGCCATTGCAAATGCCATGAAAATATACTGAAACAAAAAAAGCATACAATACTTATCTGTACCTCTGGTATATCCACCATCCTCCGCAACTTCTGATCCCTCCAGTTCCAATCGAACACAATGTATTTCAGAGACGTCAAACTAAGAGCCTCTACGAACAAAAACAGAATGTTAATATACATATAATAATTGCAGAGCACTTTAACCGCTTGCTTTACTATAATTAGGAAAAATTACTGAACATTTTGGGGAAAAAGCGTTTTTTGTTACATTATGTTAGGAAACATTTATTATGGGGGGGGGGGGGGGAACTAATTTTTTTTCACTAAACTTGATTGCTATCACATGCGGGGGCTAATAAAACCCCCCTATGTGATAGCAAAATGACCCTTAATGTCACCTAGGACCCCCCCAAAGAAGCTGATGAAGCACAGATCTGCTCCATCAGTTTCTTTCCAGCTTCTGAAGCTGGAGTGACACAAGAATGCGGAAGTGATGTAAAATACAACACTTCCGCATTCTTGCAGCGGAGAGGGGACCAGAGGGAGCTCGTGTACCGATCTCCCTCTGATCCCCTCTGACACAGGCAACATGCTGATCCCGGGCTCGCACAGCGGAGCTCGGACCAGCAGGACAACGGGGGGGTCACGGAGGGGGCACCGATCCTTACCCCATACAAGGGATCCGCCGGCTTTATAGCTGCTCCATAGAAGTCTATAATGATCAATTGCCAGGTGCTACAGATCAACTCCCGTGACAAAATAAATAGAAGCTTCCCAGTTTGTATTTAATTTTTAACTTAAATCATTACTGGAAATACTTTAAGATGTAGACATCTATGCATACTCTGTGCATATGCTGGAATATTTATTTTTCTTTAAACCCCTGGAGCTTGGTAAAAGTACTAAAATCACCGACTTTAGGAAAAGGTGGAATAGTCATCTAGCAGCTATCCCACTGCAAGGGAATGAGATACAAATAATATAATTGGTTATATTGTGGTTTCGTTAAAAAAATATCCACAGGGTGCACGAGCCAACTCTGGTTCAAGCTCTGGTGGCCAGATATTACACAAATATGGCCATAGAAGTGTGCAGCCATATCTGTTAGATTACTTTGGTGGGCCAACTGGAGCAATATTCTTGTTCATTCACCCACACACGCAAGAGTTTTCGAGTACCAGTGCCAATACTTGGCATTTTCATGAGAACTATCAGGGTTGCAGCGGTTGCATCTGGGACCGGGCTCTGGCACTCCACCACTGTCCTGAAATCATTAGTCTGTATTGTTTTAGAAAAACTGTCACATGACAATAAACAAAAATGTACCAGTACTCGTACTCGCAAAACTGGTATCTGTGCATCCCTTTATTTAGATTTATAAAAACAAAATCGTACATTAAAACAGAGATGTACAAGTCCCGGGAGCTCCGTGTGCTCCTTACAAATGACAGCTGCCTCCTAACTTTTGAATTTTTTTCTAGTGTAGTCTTGGAGCTCAAAAGTATTGGTACATGTACTCGTACTTGTACCGAGTACTGTACTTGGTATCTGTGCAACCCTAAAAAAAAACCTTTCACAATAATGGCAAAGTAGGATGGATATTTGACAGTATCCAGCAGCATTACAATCATGCAAGAATGTCTGTGGAAGAGCATACATGTTCTAAATATTGGCATTTTATATGTAAAACAACCTTTCTTTGTTAGTAATTAGCACATGCATGGGCATGTAAAGATCAATTAAAACCGAGGGTTATTCACCTTGTTCTATGAGAGCTTTAATCCTTCCTGGCGTTCCTATTCCAAGATGAACAATTCTTTTCTCCAGCAATTGTATCTGCTCTTTAATCTGTGATAAGACAGAAGAAACAGATAGCTGTTTATTAGATCAACTTACAGATCAAAACCACAACATTTAGGCCTCATTCACACACAACGCAAGCAAAATTGTATATTGCGTATATACGAAAGTCTATGCAATCCCAGAATGCATCACTCGTAATGGAATTTTTAATGTGCTATACGCATGTACGTGCCTAAATACGCAGAAATACGCTGCCCGAACGCATTTCTGTTCCATTCTGTTTTTGCGCATATATACGGCTCCATAGGCGGCTATGTGTATGGAGCCATTTATTTGCATATGGTACAATACGCACGTACGCGCCTATATGCACGGCAGTGTGAATGAGGCCTTAAAGTGACACTAAGCTCAGGAGGCGAACCCTAAAAATGCATTCAAGTACCCTATTAACAAAAATGTATCTTATTGTGTATCGCTCGGCTGTAGATCCTCAAATCATCTCTGAATTGGTGCTGCCACTCAGTATAATACAGCTTCATAACATATCAGCTAGGGAACTACAAGTCCCAGCATGCCCTCATTGCCCCTGTACAACAACCAGATATTGCCGTTCCCTGGGTCATGTGTGTGGGGGGGTGTACAGGGACAATGATGGCATGCTTGGACTTGTAGTTCCTTAGCTGATATATATGTGTGGGGGTGGGGGGTACAGTTCTAGTGGATGTTTATATAATATGGGGGGGCGAAAAAAAATGTTCTCCCCCGGGCGCCAATAACTCTGGTTACGCCACTGCTGCCACTGTCCTTCCTTCTGGAGGGTGGCTCCTTTTGTTCCCCGTGGTCCCTGTGTGTGCTGTAAAGTAGCCACTGCTCCAGGCACACTCATGTGATGGATTATGAGCTCACAATTAGTTTACTATTTTGTATTGAGATTGTAGTCCATCACGGGAGCGAGCTTGGAGTGGTGGCTACTTTACAGTACACACACAGGGACCATGGGGAACAAAAGTAGCCACCCTCCAGAAGGAAGGACAGTGGCAGCACCAATTCAGAGATGCTTTGAGGATCTACAGCTGAGTGATGCATGAATAATTTACATTTTTGTTAATAGTTAAGGTACTTAAAGTGACATTAAACCCTCAGATTTTTTAACATAAAACTATACTGTAATGTGCGCCTTACTGTAATCCGTGGTTGTTTCCCTTCTCTTTGCTGCTCTTCCTTTTATATCTGTATCTGTTCTCATGCTGGGTAGAACTTCTGTTTTGCAGCAGACTGCCTTGTCTCTGGAATGGCTACATGGTGTCTGTGTTTACGTTTGCAACCTGAGCCAGCACTACAGCAAGAGGCACTCAGCTGCAAAGGGAAGTTCTCACCAAGCATGAGAAGACATGAGGATTTAAAAGTAAGAGCAGCAAAGAGAAGGGAAACTACCATGGATTACAGTAAGGCACACATAACACTATTGGTTTATGTAAAAAAATCTGAGGGTTTAATGTCACTTTGAATGCATTTTTAAGATTTAACTCCTGAGTTTAGAGTCACTTTAAAGCAGCCACAAGACAGGGACATGACCTCAAACTAGTAGGAGGAAAGTTGAAGACTATCCTTAGAAAGTTATTTTAGTTATTTTACAGAAAGAGTAATAGATACATGGCACAGACTTCCAGCAGAGGTAGTGAGTTAGTCACAAGTAAGTGAATTTAAATAGACTTGGGACAAACAGACCTATACTCAGACTGAAAGGTTGAGAAAAAATATACAGAAAAAATAAAAAAAGGGGCAGATTCAAGGGCCACTTGGTCATTGTCTGCTGTGAATGTGATTGCTTGCTATCAGGCAGAGCTGTCCATTCTTAGGAAAATCACTTCGATAAATGAAGTCCCTAATGTTTCTGCACATTGTACATTTTTTACATAGTAAATTTCACAGCTTGGTGCATCTCTTCTACAAAAAACATCACTAAGAAAATTCAGCAGTCTGAAGCCCCCATTCACACGAGAAATGGTTGGCTCATACAGATCTGTGCTGTGCAGATCCCGGGCCGCTCCCGGGAAGGATAGGTGCTGTGTGTGATTTGTACGCAGCAGCCTCTCCTTCTCTATGGGAGTACGCAACCGCACGCTGCCCTACGCTCACCCGACCTGCACGTCCGTACAGGTGCGGGTGTCCGTACTCGTACAATGACAGGATGGATCCTGTCTGCATCCGAACAGGGACACCAGCACCCGCACGGACGTGCAGGTCGGGTGAGCGTAGGGCGGCGTACGGCCGCATACTCCCATAGAGAAGGATGGGCTGCTGCGTACAAATCACACGCAGCACCTGTCCTTCCCGGGATAAGGCCGTGCACGCATTCTCGTGTGAATGGGGGCTAAGGCTGAAATCATTTATAGATCATATTCCCTATCAATATAACCCTTCTTAAAAGAGGGACATCTGATATCTATGGGCACTAATCATCTCTTCCATTATACAGGAGCAGATTATGGTAGAGAAGGAACTCTAGGACATTCTTTTTATGAATTGGCACCCAGGATTGAATTACCTATTCATATTTTATTATAGTTGGTCTTCTTTGCTGAAACCTACCTTAGAGATAAAGTGGACAGTAAGCTTTAAACCAAGCTAATAACAATTTTTACTTTTATCTTCATAGGTGTACACTGTTTACCAACGTAACATAGACGAATCAAATTGAAGGCTTGACATACCTTGATGTGTTTTGCGAATAGCTTCATTACTTTGGTGTCACCTTTGAAAGCATTTACTAGTCTGTTGGGGTTAAAACATTGAGACAACTTACTAAATGACAAGAAATGGAAAAAACTTGGTAGGTATGATGGCTGCTAAGATGGACAGTGACACTAAACTCAGGGATTAAATCCTAAAAATGTATTCAAGTACCTTAACCGTTAACAAAAATGTATCTTATTTGTGTATCACTCAGTTGTAGATCCGCCACCATCGCTCCAAGCTCTCTCCCGTGATGGACTACACTCTCAATACAAATGAGTAAACTAAACGTGAGATTGTAGTCCATTACAGGCATGAGCTTGGAGTAGTGGCTATTTTACAAACACACAGGGACCATGGGGAACAAAAGTAGCCGCCCTCCAGAAGGAAGGACAGTGTCAGCACCAATTCAGAGATGATTTGAGCATCTACAGCTGAGTCATACACAAATAAGATACATTTACATTATTAGTTAAGGTACTTAAATGCATTTTTAAGGTTTAATTCCTGAGTTTAGTGTCACATTGAGGCCTTGTTCACACCAGATGCAGTGGGTCTCGGCCGGTTTCTGGCCAGAACGCACTGCATCGCATTGCGGCCGGCTCACTATGTTGTGGGGCAGGAGGGGGCGTGGTGGTCCATTGAAGTGAATGGCACCGTAGCCGCAATGCGATAGGCCGCGTGGGAACGCAAGGCACATTATGCCTGCGGTCCGTGCTTGCAGCATTTTGTTTGGAACAGGCCGCAGGCATAATGTGCCTTGCGTTCCCGTGCGGCCGAGCATATTGCGTGGCGGTCCATTGAAGTGAATGGCACCGTGGCCACGCCCCCTCCTGCCCCACAACATAGTGAGCCGGCCGCAATGCATTCTGGCCAGAATCGTCCCGGAACGCACTGCATCTGGTGTGACTGAGCCCTAAAGGTAAAATTAAGGTGCAGTGTTGAGTAAACACTACAATGTTCTGCAGAGAGCAGTATCCACTCTCTGTTCTAAATCAGCTCATTTAAAATCAGATGACACCATCTTGGGTTCAGTTTAGTTATGGAGTCATTTACAGTAATATTTGTAATAGGTGTTAATAGCTCTTCATATGTACAATGTATTTTAGGTTTAACATGCCTTTAAACAGGCATCCGCTCTCCTTGTTCATACAACTTTGTATAACACAGCTGAACACATGCAACATATTAATGTTGTGTGCCAGAAACGACAATATTAATTCCAATCGGAATTTACTTTATACAAAAAACTTTGATCAAACAGATGACAGACTTACTTAATTAGTTCCAGGGTGCGGATAGCTGAGCTGCAAACCACCAAGATCAGAGGAGATTTCGTTTCCTTGTGATTTTTTGATAGTTTGGACCACTTAGGGCACACTGGAATAGAGGGAGTATCACTGTTACACAAACAGTACATTATACAAAAATGAACCATTTGCCTCAGGTATGTGACATACTTACTTTCCTTTAAATATGAAGACAGCGTGTGGCTGAGGTCATTTTCTTTCACAAATGAATTATCTAAACCAGAAAATATACTTATTAATGAAACATCTAAAAGATACATATTTTTATAAAAGCTTTTCTATGCATTTCTATTCAACTGTATGCAACCCAGGGTTCAAAACGTCTGCAAGATTCTTAACTGAGCCATGGAGTAAGTGTAATTTTCCACCAGGTTTAGAGAAATTACTTCCATTGAGTTCTTCTTTAAAGACACATACAGTCCTTTTAAAACTACTTGTAAAGATTGTAATTATATAAGAGGTTGGGGCAGCCGTGTTTGCTTATTACACATGCATACTATGCTTTCTGTTTAGTAGCAATCTACAGTGATGGAACTAACAGTGGCCCTGTCACCACAAAGAAAAATCTGTTATGAAGTATAAAGTGCAATCACCTAGTGGTACCTGCACATGGTATACTTACAGCAGCCTGAAAGTCCCTGTTGCTATGCCCGAATCAAGGGCCTTTCTGAATGGAACAGCTTTGTGTCAAAGCTTGCCCGCTCTCCAATCTGGTTGACTATCATATCCTATATGCAGTCAGCTAAAGGACCTGTGTTGATGGCTTTTTAAAAAAATTTATTCTTTATTTTTGAATATTTTTACAAATGCAAAAATGAGATAAGAACCAATATGCCAAGATGTGCAGCAAGGGTATATAAGACTCGCAACTAAAAGCTGACGGCAAGTTCAGAACCCCCCAAACTCAGGGAGGGGGTAAAATGTGTTGATGGCTTTTGTCTGAAAAATCAGAACAGTTTTTCACCCCATGTAAGTCAATGGGAATGAACAAGCTTAGAAGGTTTTCAGCTGCAAGTTAAATTCCTCTGTCAGTGAACTCTAAATTTGAGTTGAAGATGCTTCTAAGACTATTTAAGTGCCCTAACTATTAAGAAAAATGTATCTTATTTGTGTATCACTTGGTTATAGATCCTAAAATCATCTCTCAATGGTGCTGACACTGTCCTTCCTTCTGGAGGGTGGCTACTTTTGTTCCCCATGGTCCCTGTGTGTGTTGTGAAGTAGTCACCACTCCAAGCTCACTCCCATGATGCACTACAAACTCAATACAAACTAGTAAACTAGACATGAGATTGTAGTCCATCATGGGAGCGAGCTTGGAGTGGTGACTACTTTACAACACACACAGGGACCAGTGATACACAAATAAAATACATTGTTGTTAATAATTAAGGTACTTGAATGTATTTTTAAGATTTAACTCACTTTAAATCTTATACTCCAATGCAAGCGGATGCATGTAAAAGCAAGCTGTCATCTACACAAGCTTTTACACTGCCTGACAGAGATTGCCATTGGATAATACAAATGTGTATAATAAATCTAATTAGGACAATAGGGAAAAACCAGCAACTAAGGTTAATGATAAAAGTTCAAGCAAAAATCACTTTCAACTTTAAAATAACTGAAACCATATTCGCTAAAAAATACATTTTCCTTTGAACAATCCCGTATTCCACCTGAACACATCACTAGAGTTTAAATGTCAGGAAAGCGAAGTTATCTGTAAGGCGGTCCTGAGATCCCCCCGGCATGCTCTGGTGCACACGCCATACTCCACAGGTAACGCAAGACCATAGCAATAACCAGTAACTAAAGAAGAAAGCAGCATTGCCTGCAGGCCTGTTGCACTTCCAATAGCACGACACTGCCAAGGAAAGTAGGTCACTGTTAGGCCAAACAAACTCCATTGTGAATAAATCAAATATTCCCTAAAGAGTGTGGCTAAAAATAAACACGTACAGGATCATTAACCTTTTATTTTGTTTAGAAGAGAAGACAGATTCTGACTGTACTCATAAATATCATATAACACAAAGAAATTGTTTTACTGGATATAACTAACATTACATAGAACAAGTTTGAAAAGTAATCCATGTTTCTTGAATTTCTTCTCCTGGTTCAACTACAGTGCAAACAAACACCAGACCCTATACTTATATGTCCTAACCGCATACTGAAATCCATGCGGCTTTCTACATAGATTTTTTGGGAGTAATTTTTCTGTGGTTATAGAAGTGGAGAATGAAATATAGGAACATGCAAAAATGAAAAGATCTCATCTTAAAGTGACCGTGTCGCCAGAACAATTATTTCAACAACAATCTTCTGATAAGATTATATGTGCATGTAATGTATTTCATGCATGTTTTTTTTTAACTTGTAAGACTCCCTTGTGTAGACATCCAAAAGTCCTAAGACTGCTGCTGTGCTCGGCCATCTTTGTTGGATGTGATGCCAGGAGCCCCAAGTGATACTTTATACTATTACCCATTGTTCCTCCCCCAGCTGCTACACAACAGATTCAAGAAGAGAGGGGGCTATGCAGGGGCGTAACTAGAACTCACAGGGCCCCATAGCAAAATCTTGTATGTGGCCCTGTGATTTCTAGATAAGTCCACCTGATAACCCAAACAGCCCACCTGAAGGTAACCCTGCAGAGCCCACCATGGACATCTGGCCGATCCTCTGTCCGCCTCCTCCTCCATGATCGCTCGCGGGCCCCGCCTCCTCCGTCACTGGGCCCCGCCTCCCCATTGCTAAGACCTGCCTCCTCGATCGCTGGGCCCCGCCTCCTCCATCGCTGCCGACGACGGGCCAAGCCAGCTCCCCCGAAGCTGCTGGTTGTCATCGCATCAGCAGCTGTGTGGAGGTTCGCGCCGCTGCACATGTGAATGGCTGTGTGTTTCTCCTCACAGCCGCCAGTGACAGCCAGCAGCCTGAAATGCCATAGCGACCCAGGTGGCCCGCACGGCATCAGGGGGATGTCCTGGCCAGGGCCCCATAGCGGCCGCCTGGTGATTGTTACGCCATTGGGGCTGTGCTAGGGAACGGACACTCTCTGGAGTGTCAGTTCGCTGGCAAGCTCAGAGGCACATTGCAGGTCAATAAAACAAATTGTTTATGGAAAGGAAAAATGCTTTAAAATACAGGATTTTCTGTGCAATTTTTAAAGTTTCTGTCTCTTTAAAGGAAATTTTTATTTTATTTTCAGCGTATGCATATTTTGAGTTATTATTGTAGTGTTTACCTTAAGTAGAAACCCAATTTCTAAAACAATTTTTAAAATAAATAGGCCATAAGTGTATTTTTTTTTTAAATTCAGCTACCCCCACAGAAGTCCACTTCACTGCCCATCATCTTCCAGGTTGAATAAAACTTCCTTATGGACCAGAACCATTTTACAATTCCACTATGAACCTATTCATTAGTTAAGATAACAAAGTAATAGATGCATTGGGGGAGGACTTTCTTTTGGAAATATGGTTTTGCTAAATTATTTTAATTTCTACAGAATCTATAGACAAAATTGTAAAAAAAATGGCAAAATAGATTTTTTTCTAAACAGTGTTAGTTTAAAAAAAAGTAGTTCACACATTAACTACTTAAGGATTTTAAACATAAGAAAGACAAGTGTCACAAACCATGGATGATGGCCCTTTCCTCCATATGTCTGCTTTCCCGTAGGGAGGAGTCGGATAGCTGCTGTCCCGCCAGGGAACCCTCAGTGGACTTTGGAATTAGCTGCAAGCTACCCCCTGGGTCACCCAACAGGTACTCACAACGCAGAAGAGGGAAGATGTGGCTTCCCAAAGACTGTAGTAAATAGCAAGAAAGGCAACAATGGAAGCAGGGTGTACTGGTAACTACCGTGTATCCCCGAAAATAAGTCACTGTCTTACATTTTTTTTGGCTCAAAAAAACACACTAGGTCTTATTTTCGGGGTAGGTCTTATTTTTTATTTTTTTATGTATAACAATCCAAAGTTAATGCAAATCCAACTTAAATAATCCAAAATGGCAAAGTTAAGAATAGGGTGATCAGGGCAATCAGGGGTGCAGTACCTTTCCAAGAGCAATTTGGTAACCAGAAAAAGCGAAGCGCACTTTCACTATCGATTCCTCACAGGCGTGCATTTGGTATCACTTCGCCTGTGACAGGAGTCGGCGCTATAGAGGAAACATCAGCTTATGCGGCTCTGATCCCTCCACTGCTGCCTCGCTTCCTCTAGCGCTGGCTTCATTGGCAACGCTGATTCTCTCCCGCGGCTCTGCAGGTTCCCCCTTATGCCACCACCAGCCCTGGCAATGGTCACAACTAGGTCTTATTTTCGGGGTTGGTCTTATATTTTAGCAATTCCCAAAAATAGTACTAGGTCTTATTTTCAGGGAAACAGGGTACTGGGTACAGGGCCGGATTAAAAGCATCACGGGCCTGGTGATGAGGATTTTGGTGGGCCTTTTTATGGAAATGGTGACGGTCTCCTTGCTTCTGTCCAGGCTGTGATTTGTAGTCTCTCTATAGCTTGGAGGCAGTGGCCCAGTTGCAACTGCGACTCTGATAGATCTGCCACTGACTCCAAGCTGTAGAGAGACTAGAAAGCAATACATTATACAGCAATGCAGAATACCGACAACTATAGAGGACTACAAGTCCCGGTCAGCTCGGCACGGAGGCCGTTCCGGTCAGCTCGGCCCGGAGGCCGTCCCGGTCAGCTCGGCCCGGAGGCCGTCCCGGTCAGCTCGGCCCGGAGGCCATCTGGGTGACGTGACGCATAATGTGACTTAACCACAACATTGCTGGAAACATTGCTGGAAAAACCTGAAAATGTGAGTGATAGCAGGGGATAAAGTAAGCCCTGAAAGTGGAATCTTGTATGAAGGTAAGTTACTATAACATTAAGGTATGCTCGTATAAGAGGACATTTAAAAAAAAAATTAATGTGGGGGGGGAGGTGCAGAGAAGCAGGAAGGAGTGAATGCAGTAGAACTATTGGTGATGTCGTTTAATTTAATTGACTTTTAGATTAACATGCTTTATACTTATACACATTTGTACATTAACTATTCGATGGATCTCTCAGAGGATCAGTGCAATTAACGGGTCGGTCTTGACAACTAACATAATATCACCCATATGTGTAGTGCATTGTTATAGCAGAACCACTGAGTAGCTCTGCAAAGCAGAAAAAAGAGCCTGCATATGTAATGATCAAATATGGCTGCTCAGGGCCGATGCTAGGATTTTTGCCTACACAGGCAAAGTTGCTGTCCCCTTCCCCTCTTCCTCAATTCCCCCTCCTTAAGATTGTTAACATCAAATCAATCAATATATATATATATTTATTAACGTTGAGGCATAATAAACTTATATGTTGTATGTGAAGAAAGATATTTCAGAGAAAACTGTTATACTTTATAGAACGTTTTTACTATTTCAAGTAGTGAGGTGATAGAACCACTGTCAGGATTATCTAAAAATATTTTTAGATAATCCACATAAAAGCACATATAGCACTAAAAGACATAGTTTAAGATAATATATAGATCACAGGGGGGAAGAAATAAGAAAGGGAAGGAAGTAGTTCTCCTCTGTACCCCTAAGATCTTAGAAGTAAACTCTAGTAAGATCCCCAAGAGAGATCCGGGAAGTAGGAGTGATGGATAGAGAAGAACATTGGATTGTTAAATGAAGGGAAAACAACAAAACTGCCCAAGGTAGGGAATACGACAGAGAGAGGAACAACATAATGTAAGAGAGGGAGGGTAGAAGAGAGAATGGAAGGATGTGAGCATGAGGGATATGTTGATTTTGTATGCATAGTTTTAGCTAGCGAATAATGTAAAATGCAATGATTCATTGATATCGTGAATACTGTTTTGTAAAATGTAAAACTGGAAATAAAGCGTTAATAAAAAAAAAAAAGAACCACTGTCAGGTTTTGTTTTTTTTGCTGTCTGTGTCACCATTAGGGATGAATAGAAAATGAGTTACCAGCACATTGTCATATTCTTCATCAAGAATGCCTTTATTGGCATTAAGTGATCAAAGTATCACAAAAGAAATGTTTTCAGACCAAAGATGTTCCCTTCATCAGGTAACCATTAGGGATGTTCACTCTAATTGTCCAGATCACCAATTTCAGTAGGAATAAAAGTGAGGATAAATCCAACATTTTGAGCTGCCACCACAACAGGAATACAAGGTAAATTATTTTATTACGTCGTCTGTCCAATCAGACCAAATGAGGCAAGAGCCTTATCATAACATGTCCATTTTACTGGAATCATTTATTAGACAGAGAAAGTACTAACAGATTCCTCACTGATGGGAACCTTTCTATTTGATAACTAACCAGCTACAAGAAACCATCAATTGAATGAACATCTGCTGAACAAGCTGGACAACAGCCTAAATTTGGAATTAATCACTTTGTTTATAAAAATTAATGACCTGCAGTCCCACCTAGGTGTTAGTATGGGTATAATTAAACTATTTTTTTTTCTGGGAAATGTAGTTCAGAGGGTATCTACTGACAGGAAAAATTTGATTGAGCGATATTTCCCATATATTATCCCACTGGCTGGTCATATGTTTTACTGGGACTTAGAGGGCATGAAAAGCACAATGGTAAACAGTTCAGTGCACATGGTTGGCTCTCTCTACATAGGAAAACGAAAAACTGTAATTACTCAAAGTTCAGAACTGCGTACCTGGCAATTTTAGTTCCTCCAGTTCAATAACTGACCGTGTCTTGCTATAATATTTCTCCAGGAGGTTCTGTAGGTCTTCTGGAGTGCCAGCTTTTGGCGCAGAGTTTGCTAAAACATCAGTAATTGTTTTCTGCAAGCAAATACATTAACAGTAATGCAATGTTAAAACCTATATTAATTGCAATATGTGCTGTACATAAACAAAGATGTTTAGCATACAAGTTTTCTTAAAGAACCAACATGTAAAAAAACATTTGGTGCTAATACTTTCCAGGAAACATTTCCACATGCACAAAGTGTACTCAATGTTCTTTACTTAGGGCTATATCTTTTTCCCATTCTTCCGATGAGCAGGGCTTTTAGAAGGATAAGGCCTTGTTCACACCAAGCGCGGAGCAGATCCGGACCAGAGCAGGTGCAGACCGGATTAAAACTGCGTCCAATGTATTCCTATGGTATTTTGACCTCCAGTTCACATCGCAGCGTGCAGATCCAGACCAGATCCAGACCGGATGAAAAAAATGCGGCAAGCCCTATTTTACCTGCTCTGGATCTGGTCTGGAACGCATCAAAAACACAAAAACGCATCAAAAACGCATGCAAGTGCCTGACAGCCCATGTTAAACTTACATTTTTTTTAACCAAAACCGGCCCTAAACGCATCTAAAACGCGGCACAACCCACTACACTGCAGGTGCAGAAACCTGACCGGATCTGGTCTGCATTTGGTGTGAACAAGCCTAAAGGGTGGGACTACAGCCTTTTGTCAGTCATCAGGTGCTGTGTAACCTCGCACCTTCACATTTATATTTGTCCACAAGAAATGTGAAATATGGAGGGCCTTCAGGGTTTTCTCTGGGATGTGCATAATTAGACAAAAGAGGTAGGTTGGATGGAATCCTGGAACAATCAAAATTATGGTAAAGTTTCCTCTCAACTCCAGTTTACCAGCAAAGGAAAAACAGAAGCCCTAGACAGGTATGCTATGTGTCTTGTATATGTTTCCATGCTAAATTTAGTAATTTAACTGTAGAACTTCAGTTTTAGGTACCCAACAACCTGCCCCCTATTGAGGTCTCACCCTTTTCTTTTATAAAAGCATAAAAAAACGGTAACAAAACAAGTATTTCCTCTTTTCCTCGGATGGCGGCAGTGGGCAGTCCGTACTCTGGACAGCTCTCATGTAATAATGTCTGAGCGCTGTTCAGTGCAGTAATACTGCAATGGTTGGGTCCATGTCAGCTTGGGTTTAGAGGAAACAGGTCATCTGCTGGCATCACCAGATTGAAGGTTTCTGGGCTGGGCTGCTTATTCTTTTTTTGTTTCAAAGTTTTTATTAGATTTTTCAAATACAACCGTTTAGCAGTATACAGTAAAGGGGCATTGTGGCGTACAAATACAGAATATAAACATGCACAAAAATGCCATGCAATTCTTCAAATCTAACATATATAGTTGCAATCTGTATACTCTGTTGAAAAGGAGAGGAAACAATAGTCGGAAGGATCTAAGGGATGGGGGTGAAGAAAGAGATACCCCGTAGATCCGGGGGGGGG